AAACTTGATAAGGCACAAACATTACTAAGTAATTCCAAGACACTATATGATATCCTTTCAAAAGCACAGCAACCCATTTCCCATGTTACGTTATTCCACTAATAATTGGCATAATCCTAAGGCATTTACATAAACTACTCAGGTGTGAACCAATGATCCGCTGGACTAGACCAGTTTGGTATAATCCCACTCACTTATATATTCAATGTTCATTTATTCAAATATTCCTTGAATCCCAAATGCACATACGGCACTGTGCTAAGCAATTTGGGAAATGTATACAAGCTTAAGACAAGCTCCTTGTCCTCACAAAAATTACAGTTTGAAAGATCAGGATTTTGGGAGGCAAAGCAAATAAAAGATTTACATAATTTTTGTTACATGTGAATGTAAGTAAATCACTTGGAAAGGCCTTTAGGGTAGGGGGGCAATCATTAATCTAAAGTGCTTCATGGAAGGGGTGGTCTTTGGTCTAGTCCTTGACAGAGAGTGTAGCCACATGAAGTTTTACAAAGAGCATTACAGACAAAACAGCAAGGCATTTTTTAAATACACAGGAGTACATAGTTTATTCCTGGAGCATTAACAATCCAAAATTCTAGACTCATTGGAAAGGAAGGTAATTATGGAGAACAGAAAACAAAATAAAAAAGAACCGTGGGTTGGGCACAGATTGTACACGAGATTTTCTACTAGGGCCTAAGGCCTGTTTCATGCGCAAGACTTTCCAACAGCCCCAGCAGCAGTGATTTTCCCATGGCTGGAATTTACCTGTGTTATTGAGAACAGCTGTTTGGTTTCTCTTGGGTAACGCTCCAATTTATTACCTTGAAGTAGGGATTGTTTTCATTTTCAAAAAATTGAAAACCATTCAACATTGTATATCATGATATATTCCTTAAAGATTCTGATAATATCCTTTAGACATTCAAAAGCAAGAAAGTTCCATTTAACCACACCATGTTAATTTATTCTGTAAATAGTGAGCATAATCATATAGCATTTAAAGCAGCAAGGCAATAACCTCTCAAGTTGATAAATGAAGACTAGAGTACCAGCCATAATTTACATTTCCAGATTATAGCCACAGTAATGAAACCCTTTAGGATTATTAAAATGTATTTTGTACAGTATATTTATTGCTTGGAATTTCTTATTTATGACTCATAGAAAGATGAAGCTAAGTGAAATAAAACACAAACTAAACTTTCACTAGAATAATGTGATCCTATTCACTATTTTAGCCAAATACACTTTTATTAAGTTTTCAATAGTTGTGTTGGTTTGATTCTTGGGAGCAATGCTTTTCACTTTACCTATCTTGGAGACCTTTCTTAAGGAAACTCCATACTGTCTTCCATAGTGGCTGCACCAGTCTGCATTCCCACCAGCAGTGCACAAGTGTTCCTTTTTCTCCATATCCTCTCCAGCACTTGTCGTTTGTTGATTTGTTGATGATAGCCAGTCTGACAGGTGTGAGATGGTACCTCATTGTTGTTTTGATTTGCATCTCTCGGATGATTAGTGACTTTGAGCATGTTTTCATATGTCTCTTGGCTTTCTGAATGTCCTCCTTTGAAAGGTGTCTATTTAGGTCCTTTGCCCATTTTTTGATTGGATTGTTTATCTTCCTTTTGTTAAGTTGTATGAGTTCCCTATAAATTTTGGAGATTAGGCCCTTATCAGATATGACATTGGCAAATATGTTTTCCCACACAGTGGGTTTTCTCGTTGTTTTGTTGATGGTTTCTTTTGCTGTGCAGAAGCTTTTTATTTTGATGTAGTCCCATTTGTTCATTTTCTCTTTCGTTTCAAGTGCCCTAGGAGCTGTATCAGTGAAGAAATTGCTTCGGCATATGTCTGAGATTTTGTTGCCTTTGTATTCTTCTAGAATTTTTATGGTTTCCTGTCGTACATTTAAGTCCTTTATCCATTTTGCGTTTATTTTTGTGTATGGTGTAAGTTGGTGGTCTAGTTTCATTTTATTGCATATATCTGTCCAATTTTCCCAACACCATTTATTGAAGAGACTATCTTGGCTCCATTGTATGTTCTTGCCTCCTTTGTCAAATATTAATTGAGCATATTGGTTCGGGCCGATTTCTGGGCTCTCTATTCTATTCCATTGATCTATATGCCTATTCTTGTGCCAGTACCAGGCAGTTTTGAGAACAGTGGCTTTGTAATACATCTTGATATCTGGTATTGAGATCCCACCTACTTTGGTCTTTTTCAGGATTGCTGCAGCTATTCGGGGTCTTTTTTTATTCCAGATGAATTTTTGGAGAGTGCGTTCTAGATCTCTGAAGTATGCCGTTGGTATTTTAATGGGAAGTGCGTTGAATTTATAGATTGCTTTGGGTAGTATGGACATTTTAATGATGTTGATTCTACCAATCCATGAACACGGTATGTTCTTCCATCTGTTTATGTCTTCCTCTATATCTTTTTTCAACGTCCTGTAGTTTTCTGAGTAGAGGTCTTTTACCTCTTTAGTTAAGTTTATTCCTAGGTAGCTTAATTTTTTTGGTGCGATGGTAAACGGGATTGTTTTTATAATCTCTCTTTCTGAAAGTTCACTATTGGTGTATAGAAATGCCTCGGATTTCTTGGGGTTAATTTTGTATCCTGCTACATTGCCAAATTCATGTATTAAGTCCAGTAGCTTTTTGATGGAGTCTCTAGGGTTTTGTATGTATAATATCATGTCGTCTGCAAATAAGGACAGTTTTACTTCCTCTTTTCCAATTTGGATGCCTTTTATTTCTTCTTCTTGCCGAATTGCAATGGCTAGCACTTCCAGTACTATGTTGAACAGGAGTGGTGAGAGGGGGCATCCCTGTCTTGTTCCTGTTCTTAGGGGAAATGGTGTTAGTTTTTGTCCATTGAGTATGATGTTTGCTGTGGGCCTGTCATATATGGCTTTTATTATGTTGAGGTATGATCCTTCTACTCCCACCTTGCTGAGAGCTTTTATCAAAAATGGGTGTTGAATTTTGTCAAATGCTTTTTCTGCATCAATTGATATGACCATGTGGTTTTTTTCTTTCAATTTGTTTATGTGATGTATCACGTTTATTGATTTGCGGATATTGTACCATCCTTGCATCCCTGGGATAAATCCTACTTGGTCATGGTGTATGATCTTTCTGATGTACTGCTGGATCCGATTTGCTAAGATTTTGTTGAGGATTTTGGCATCTATGTTCATGAGGGATATTGGCCTGTAATTCTCTTTCATTGTGTTGTCTTTACCTGGTTTTGGTATTAGGGTGATGCTGGCTTCATAGAATGAGCTTGGAAGTGTTCCTTCCTCTTGAATTTTTTGTAGTAGTCTGAGGAGGATAGGTTTTAGTTCTTCCTTGAATGTTTGGTAAAACTCCCCTGTGAAGCCGTCTGGTCCTGGGCTTTTGTTTGCTGGAAGCTTTTTGATGACTGCTTCAATTTCTTCCATAGTTATTGGCCTGTTGAGATTTTTAGATTCTTCCTGATTGAGTTTTGGAATGTTGTATTTTTCTAGGAATTTGTCCATTTCCTCCAGGTTGTCTAGTTTGTTGGAGTAGAGCTGTCCATAGTATTTTTTAACAATCATTTGTATTTCTGTGGGGTCTGTTGTTATTTCGCCTCTATCGTTTCTGATTTTGTTTATTTGGGTCCTCTCTCTTTGCTTCTTGGTGAGTCTGGCTAGAGGTTTGTCAATCTTGTTTATCCGACCTTTCTTAAATAAACTAATTTGGCATAAAAAAAAAAAAAATTGTAAGTCTTGGAGCTGAACTTTATTATTTAAAACACCTGGTGGGTAAAGGTTTATTTCATGTGAAATCACAAGGAACAAATGATTTAGAGTTTTTCTGATAGAATTATTAATAACCACGCTGGGGCTAGGTGACTGTTGATCTGGCATTATCTTAATAGTTAGGAAGGAAGTCCCAGAGCAAAAAATACCACGATCCTCCTCCAGCCACATCACGGAATTAGCACCATGTCCCACTTACAAAGGATAGCAGAACATCTGTTATGATTTTTCTACTCTCAGAAAATTGTCCTCACTCAAACTAGAAGAAATTACTAACCATGCCTTCGATAAAGTGCTCCATTACTGATGGCGTCGCCTTCTTGCCCATACAGAGAAACAATGTGATCCTCAGTGCAGACCACACTGGATTGAAGCCATAAATACTTAAGTTTTCTGAAAAGTGAAGTGTCAGGTCACAGAGTAGGATGCACAAAGCAACTGAGAGCTCCGCGTAGTCTGACTACACAGTGTCTGCAGGTGGTAAGCTCACTACTGTCGCCAGAAAGTTTGAGCGAGTTACTTACCCTCTCTGGGCCTCAGTTTCTCCATCTTCAAATGTGGATAATGGTACTAATGTTAACCTACATCACAGGGTTGACATGACTGTAGAAGAGGTTAATAAGTGTACGTGCTTAAAACAGTACCCAGCAAATATTTTTAGAACTCATTGGGAAATATAAGCTCTGAGCACCTGTTATCTTTGTTATAAAATATGACCATTCATAAGCGTGGAAGTTAAGTCTGGGTTTGAATCCCAGGGGCTCACTTTGAAATTCTATAATATTGAATGATGAGGAGGATGATAACCAATATTTATTCATTCTTACCAGATATTTTATGTATATTATCTCATTTGTATTTCACAACCATCCTGCAAGGTAAGTATTGTTATTTAACTCATCTTCCAGATGAGGCAACTAGAAGGGGTTTGTGAGCCCTCTGCCAGCTCTCTCCAGACCTGCACTAAGGCAGCCCTGCACTGGCGTGGCCTCTGTGTGCTAATCAAGAGACTTGAACAATAGCTCAGCTCAGACCTCTAAAACAATATGTCCAAGGGCCCTGTAAACATGATCCAAAATGTCTTTTCACACTTGATATTGACACCACTCTGAAGAAAACGGAATGCATACTCACACGTGCTCTGGAAACACCTCCTCTCCCTGGGATACACCCTGCTTACACATTTGTCCTGTTTCAGCATGGCCACAAGTTGCCCGAAGATGTGAGGAGGCAAGACCAGTGAACTTTGGTGGATCAAGCAGCCCCGACCAGGATTCGGAGGAGAAGAGGCCTTGGGGAAGGAAGGTACCGCCCTTCTGAAACTTCGCCCATGGGCTTATAAATGGAATGGATCCAGCTTCCTCCTTTATAACAAGAAAAGCTCTGCCAAGGGGCGTATGGGGCAACAATTTTGTTTTGCTGCAAGGGTGTGGACCACAGATAAATGGGATTTGAGAAGCCTTATAAAAGTGGGGAAATGGAAAGAAAAAAAAAAACAGTAAATGGAAAACCTGCGGGTGGGGGAGGGGAAGTGAGACTGAAGAGAGAGAACAAAGAAGCTTAAAGAAGAGTTTTCTTAAGCATTTGTACTTTGACAACCTCCTCATCTACCCAAGAAAAACTGTAGTAATATTGTACTACCTGCCTTGTTTTTGGTATGGGCTTTTAATTTTTAAAAAGGTAGGGGCATTGGGTCCGTTTTTTTTACCAACGATTTAGCCCAGAAGCTGCCCAAGGGGGCCCAGCAGTGCTGAGTCACTGAAAGTCCCCTGGCTGAACATTTTTATAAAATGAGGGGAAACATGGCTTTTAAGACTTTCCTAGTATTGTGAACTGGCCTGCACAACTAGGAAATTCTTTCTGGGGTGTATCTGGAAGACGGCAGGCCTTCTACTCTCCCACAATCTTATTCCAGGTCACTGTATACCACAAAGAAAGCTGGTCCAGATTCAGCAATACCTCCAAACAGTTATTATCAAGCAGGTACAGAAGCCATATAAAAATCTGTCCTTGGAAGCTCAGTCCTGCCCCAGCCCCGTGCCCCTTAGACCAAAGTGGACTTTGCATGAAAGAGCCACTTGGGGCAGGTGGCAAGTCAGTCCCATAGAAGTTGAGCTTCTGTTGAAATCGGATACACCGGGATTGAAAAATAGCAGGCACAGAGAAGGACAGGAGGCAGCATTCCTTTAATTTTACATGGAGGGTGGAAAAGCCAGTGGCCTATGCAATATTTCTAACCAACACATATCTGGTGCGCTACACATTTCACCAAGGAAATCTAATCTCCGGCAGTTCCTATGCTAATTGAAAACTGTCTAATGTACATGGAGATAGCAGTAGTTGAAGGTTCATACCTCAGGCCCTCAGAAAGTGCCATACTGACTATACTCTTCCACATGCTAACTAAGCACCTTTCTGGTGGATACTCTGGATTGCTATACTTCAAATATTAACTAGGCATGGATTAAAATAAGTTATGCCCACTCACTCACACGTTATCATCCACACTAAAATATTTTAAAGATAAAGTATAGCCATTGAAACAGCCCATTATCTTTGGTCCTATAGCTAAGTGAGGAGCCCAGCTGGAATGGGAGCTTAGTGTGGCCCAAGACAAATGTTTCTATCACTAAAAGGAGTTTCCAGTCCACTAAGAGAAAATGACTTGCACACAGAGGAAACAAAGAAGTGAGAGGAACCAGCCTTAAGTTTGCAAAGAGTAAAATTGGTGTTTCTGTTGCTTTAAAATCTCATCCTGTGCTTTCAGTGAATAAGACAACTGGCTATTCATTTAAGAAAAATAATCCTGATTCTGCTTCACATGTTTATTTAAAGTAAATTCCAGGTGATTGACAATATACATGAATTGTAAAATGTACAAATTCTTTAATCCAACATTTTTCCTTTTCAACATTTGCCTTAATGAGATAATGAAGGATGCCTATGGAAAAGGATGCCCCAGCACATCATTGTGTTAGTAAAAAGCAGAAGCAGCTAAAAGTCATCAATAGAGGATTAAGGCAATTCGTGTAATTGACTGCAATGGACAACTAAGCATCCAGCAAGCGTACACCACTGCTGACATGATGACCCCGCTATGTTGTTGAGCATTTATTAAGGTCATTGGAAGACAAAGCAATATAGTTTGATCTTGTGAATATAAAATGTATACCATGTGAAAGTTCACCTAAATGTTAAGGGATCCACAATGAATTTTTCCTTCCTTTGCATACTTTTGTAAATTTTTAAATAGCCTATCTAATAAAGAGGGAATATGCTGGGAACCTCAGTCCACGCCCCCTGCCCAGTGGGGCTTGACGGAGGACCTGAGGCTGCACCCCCCCACCCAGCAAGGCTTGACGGGGGATCTCAGATCATGCCCCTCTTCCCTGCAGGGCTTCACGGGGGACCTGAGTCTGCACCCACCAACTGGCGGGGCTTGACGGGGGACCTGAGGCTGCGCCTCCCAGCCCAGCTCCAGGCCAGGGGACCTGAGGCTGAGCCCCCCGCCTGGGGGGGATTGACAGGGGCCCTGAGGTTGCACCCCCCACCTGGCAGAGCTTGACAAGGGTGGGGCCTGCCGGGTCTGGATCTCACCCAATGGGATGGGGCTGGCTGGGGCTGGGTCTCGTGCAATTTTGAGGTGCCACAGGTGGGCAGGGACTTGACTATGGGTACTGCAGCGTGCCCCAGACTCTGAAAGGAGGGAGATTTTCATATACATTTTACTAATTTTCTTTCATCTCTGACACTTCTATTATAGAGAAAGGGCAAATAGCAATATTAAAATATTTCCTCTAATTAATCCCCTTTTAATGTGCACAAATTTTGTGTACCAGGCCACTAGTTTATGGTAATTATATACATTTTTACAAATCTTCAAGCTCCTGAAAAGGGTATTAGATGTATGGCTGATGATATGACTTATATTTTGGGTTTTCACTCTAAAACATAAATCACTTCATGCCTCTCACCAGTTCCAGACACTTTAATGGCCCCCAACCAAGTCTGCAACAAGATGCAAATCTTTAATATAGTCTAGCCCATGCCTACCTTTCCAGCCTCATCCTTCATCATTTATTCCCCCACCCCACCACCCCTAGTTCACTATCCCTGAACCACACTGACCATCACTCAATCCCTTCAGCTTCTAGCCTTGTTTCCCACCACCAAGTCACAGCTCATGCTATTTCCTCTACTGGGAAGACATTTTGACCCCTTCTCCACCTGCCTAGCTTTTCCTTATAATCCAACATCAAATGAGGTATCAATTCTTCAAACAGGGCTTCTCTGATTGACAATACAAATTCAATCTCCATTACACCTTCTCTTAGAAACAAGTATTCTTCCACTTCAGCTTTTATCACCAGGCATGAGTACATACTTATTAATGTATTTTTAAATCAGATTTCCCACTAGACTATTAGCTCTAGGTGTAAAGTGAGTATTATACCCAAGTTTTTATTAAGGATCTGACACTTAGTAGAGAGTCAATATATCTCTGCTGAATGAATAAGAACTGAAAAATGGGGCAGATGGATTATGTGATTTTAAATTTCAAAACAAATCTAGCATCTCTTGAGAACTTTATAAGAAAATAATTTTACTACCTTTATTTTTCATTTATTTCTGATGAAATTATGTACAGGAGATTGTCATTGTCCATAATTTATGGAAAGATGAAGAAATTAAGTGACAAAAATAGATAATAAGTGAGCTTTCTAAAATATAAAAGTAATAAAAACATTGATGCAATTCTCAAAACCAAGGCTTCAGCTCTCAATCCAGGCTCCACAGCTCCGCACCCCCCCCCCCCTTTAAGAAGCTCTTTGAAAATGGACAATGCTACCTGAGCCTGAGGGAAGGGGGGGTGCCAGATGGAGGGACACATTTCATATCCTGGGTCATGAGCAGAGTTTATGATAGGTGATCTTCCTGATAAGATTTTCAGATGACTAACCAGGTAAGTAGAAAGCCTACATACTGGAGCATTTGATAAAAAGCTTTATAATCTTGAATAAATATTTTTTTTTTATTTTTATTTTTTTTAATATATTTTATTGATTTTTTACAGAGAGGAAGGGAGAGAGATAGAGAGTTAGAAACATCGACGAGAGAGAAACATCGATCAGCTGCCTCCTGCACATCTCCCACCGGGGATGTGCCCGCAACCCAGGTACATGCCCCCGACTGGAATCGAACCCGGGACCCTTCAGTCCGCAGGCCAGCGCTCTATCCACTGAGCCAAACCGGCCTCAGCTTGAATAAATATTTTAGACTTACATACAAAAAAATTATAAATCAGAAGATTTAATGGCAGACACTAAACATCACTGAATAAAAATTGTATCTTCTACTTCTGGGGTTTAGCCCATAGAAATTGCACATACATGCAATACATACATATACACAAACACACACATGTTACATACATACAGGGTATCCCAAAAAATGCATACACACTCTAACAGCTTTTAATTCACTTAATTTTTACTCCTTTTAAGGTTTAACTAATTTGAAATAATAGGTGAAGTGAGACTAAGCTTTCAACAAAGAAAATTTATCCACTAGACTTTTTTTTATAGATACATAAAAGATAAAGTTTACAGTGCAAAACCAACAGCAGTCAATGAATTGAGGGCAGCTATTGAATGAGAATATGCACAAATACCAAATGAAATGATTCTTGATGTTTGTGATTCCATTGCTTCACGTTATCAGCAGTTCCTGAACCAGAATGGTCATCAGTTTGAAAACAGGCATTGGCAAAAATATTTATTCATTTCTGTAGATTCTTTTAAATTTTGAAAATTAAGTATGCTAATAAACACTGACTTTTTAATCATTCAAAGTGTGTATACACTTTTTGGGACACACTGTATATACATACACAAACCATAGAGCATGTCAGAATTAATTTTCTATGATCTACTACAGAGTCATGAACAACTCTCATCTACTAAGAATAGCTATAGCAAACCAATTCCTAAAACCATCTAAATAACAAAATCTGTAAGTAAGATGAAAACCGTGTAATGGGTGTCTCTAAAAAAGAGAAACCATTCAAGAAGCCAAAGAGGAGTCAATTCTGCTACAGAAAATGTTAAGAAAAGAAAAAATAACAAGATATCTATTTGTCCTCCACTATTTTTCCCTTTATGTGCCAATTGGTGATGATGATAATGATCTATAGTCTGAGAAAATTCAACTTTAAGGGCCCAGAAATATTGGAAAAATCTATAATAATAAAAGTGTAATATGCTCATTAGACCAGACTGCCTAACGACCTCCTAGATGAAGCCAGGGCTGAGAGGGCCGAGCCTCTTGCATGAATTTCGGGCATCAGGCCTCTAGTATGTTATCATATTCTATGTTTGAACAAGCACAGTAACTATATTTATTCCAAATAACATTTAGTATCTTCAGTCTCATAAGGGCTTTATCTAAATTTTACTTTAAATTTCAAAAGCAGCTTCTCTTCACAAATAGAAAATAGGGAATCCCTTTTGTCAACAGAAAAATTCCAATAGGAAAGATTTATCATTTTTCTGACAGAAGTAGTTGCAAATTGACAACCATTATATTGTTCCAGTATTATGTGATTATGTGATTGGTTTTCCCCAAATACTTAAGAAATTGAAACGTTTTATTGGAAACATCTTTCAAACACCCCAGGTACTTAATTTTCCATTTTCATCACTTAAATAAATATAGTGTGTGTGTGTGTGTGTGTGTGTGTGTGTGTGTGTGTGTGTACCCATAATTGTAATAAAGCTTCAACTCAAGAAGCTACAGAAATAAATTATTTCTTTAGAGATGAGGTATATCTCTAAAATGTTTCAATTAATACCAGACGTGGTCTTATCATCTTTAATATTCCACAGACAGTCTATCACATTCCTTATGGACTGGCGTCTTTTTATAAACATTTCCCATATGGCAGAGAGGAAAGCTTCTGATGAAATGTTAATAGACTAGAGTTTCAATCATTTCTGGCTTCTTTTCTGAAAAAAAGAGGAGGTGGGGGGAGCACCATCTGAGGTCGTTTGTGCACAGTTCTATTTCTAAGGTTGGGCTATTTTGTTTGTACTCTGTCCGCTGTGAGCATCAGCAGCGCTTGGAGTTACTGAATTCTGAATATTCAAGAAATGTTCAAATTTTTTTCTAATTTCATGATGGTTACAATTGTACACACAGATATCAAAGGCCCTTGGGTTTATTTTCCTTCTTGAAGGGTTGCTGTAAATTTAAATTCTCAGTTAGTCCTGGAGAGAAGAATCTCGAGCAATCTCCATAGATTTCAATTTTGCCTTCAGGCTGCTGGGGCATCCAAAGAGATCAAGTAGAGTCAAATGAGACCTGTAGCTCTTCAGTGAATTTTGAAGTCTAGATTACAGCTGCCTCCACTCTCACACTCAACCACCTCAGCCCTTGGGGAAACAGGCACATCAGGAAGGGTCTGTGAGAAAAGGCAACCTTTCCCTTATGACATAGTTACATAAGGTTGCCTTCTCATATCTATGTGCCTCCAAAAAAGGCATGAGATACTTGAATCATTAGGACATTTCTAAACTTGCCTAATATAGTCTTCCTTGTTCTGATAGTGAAATCATGTAGTATAGTCACAGGCTGTGGGGAAAACAAACGCCCTTGAATCCCTTCTCATGCTGGAACATTCCTTAAGACAACCTCTCCTAAAGAGGCTGTAGCTGATTGTGTCTGGGACAGACTCTGCCACATTAGGCTTCTGATAGCCTGGCCTGGGATGAAAGGCCAATCGGCCCATTCCCAGACAGGTTTATTTCTTGCCACTTCTCTGCCAGACCCTCTATTAGGCTGTCCCAAGTAGTTAGAGTTATTCACCACCTACTTCCCAGGGTAGTTTTGGGAGAGGAAAGGCCCAAATTGCAAGTAGGAACATTTTTTATATCTTTATGGTAAGAGTATAAAAAGGAGATATAAGGATCTTCATTTAAAAACTTTTATCAAAGGGTATAAAATTATAAAATTATAGAATTGGCTCAAATCCAATGCTGAATAAAGATAACCCTCCATTTCCACTCTCTCTAGGGAATGACAACCATCCAAGATACTCTGAAATTATTATATCTGGAGGATAAAAAATATATAAAATTAAACATCTAAGAAATTATTATGATATCACAAAGACAGACTTGAAAGGAAATTGAGTAAACATTTTTTATGTGCCACTGTATGCCCAGAACTATTACAAAAATACTTCTAGATATTTTACATTAATTAGTGTGTCTCTGCCACTAAACTGTTAACTTAATGACTGCAGGGACTATGGCTCACCACTGTACTTACTACCTTTGTCCAGCAAAGTGGCACATAGTGGGAACTCAATAAATACTTTTTGAATAAATGAATGAATTTGTGGTACAAAGAGACTTGGTATTCATAACAATAAGAATCAAATATTAAACGTTTTATGTTGTTATTAACATCAAGCCCATTTTATTTCTTTATATCTACTTGAAAACTGATTGCATATTGATGCAGAGTTCTCTGTTTTCTGGCCCAGCCACCACACTACATTTCCCAACCTTCCTTGCAGTTGGATGGAATCATTGGACTAAGTTCCAGCCAATGAAATGAATGTAACAATGGGATGCATCAGATCTGGGGCAATGCAGTTATTAATGTGTATGCCTTCTTCACATTTTCTCCCTTTCCCCATATGTGCAGTTGAATAAAGAGAAGAACAAGGTCCTAGAAGATGCTGAAATCAACAATGGAATGAGCCTGAGCCCCTGAACATAAACCCAGGTTTTGAAAACTTTTAGGCTGAAAAAGATTTAGTTTGGTTCTATTTACTTAGCCTCTTGGCACTATTCTCCTTGTTAGGAAATCAGCTTTCTCCTTTTCCCTATGGAAAACCAGATCTATAGCCCAGAAACCAAAAGCATCAGTCTGAAGGTCCATAAAATAATTTCCCACTCACAATACCTGACACATTTTTTAAAAAGAAATAATGTTATCACTTTTAAAAGGAGGCTATCGTTTAATTAAGTATAATTATCTAATTTAATTTAATTCTGGTCAAGTGGCCAAGTATATAGTATCACAGAAATTGTATCTGACAATTTAGAAAATATTTTTAAATATCTTAAATGAAAGATTGACCAGTAATGGACATATTCTACTAATAACGCAATTATTATGGCCTAAAGTTATACTTGGATTTAGAAAAAATTAAAAGATAAAATAAATTTAAAGCTTAAAAGTAAGTAGAGTTGGCAGAAATGTCAAAATAATTAAAACAGTAACTTAAGAAATATAACAAGTTGGGAATATTCTTAGATACGCTCATATTTTGCTGATAATTCAATAGGACCAAATTCCTACCACTTAGGGGCAAAATAAAATATTACCTGATAGACAAGCAAAATAACCACAATGTTTCTCTCTAAATAACTTTCCTATTTCAATCTCCATACACAGTGTGCTCTGCTTTGCACCAGTGACCTTAAAAGGAAGCAATATTTGCCTAGACTTCCATTGCTGCTTCATTTCATGGGTAAGTCACTCCAAGAATGGCATGAATATGTGGAGAATTCCTGGCATGTAACTTTCTGTATAAACTTTTAAACCTTTTGGAAGGCTGGACCTAGCAGGCATAGAAAATGCCCCGAGAGCAGCATTTTATTTGATGTGGCCTAGAATTCATGCAAAATTTGATCATTATTTAGACACCATGAAAATTATGGTCAGAAGAAACTAGCATAGATATTACCATTTTCCTTGGGAGAATAAGCCATACCAACTCCACTCCCTGCACACCCACACCCATTTTGAAAACATTCACTTAGATCAGGTTTCCGTTTCCCCAGGTCAAGAGACTACAGCATCTTCAACATTGGACTATCGCATTCTGTCCTTGGCTGCTTTTACTTGAAGCAGCAGAAAATTAGAGGAATTCCTGGAGCATAAAAGCTACTGAAGTCTGTACATGTGTTTGGCTTGTTTGTTTTTCCCCCTAAAATAAAACTTAACAGGGTCCTACCTGTCCCGCTAGTGCTTATGATGTGTTATCAAGTGTGAGGGAATCATTTTTCTCATTGAGTAAATTCTGTGTGCTACATGAAGGACTGCATGAGTGAAAGTGGAAGGGGCTACCGAGTCCCCACCTGCCATGCCAGCACCCCGTTTGTCCATTTCCCATACTGGAACTACTCCATGACATCTACTGCTTCCCAGATCTAATCCTGACCTGTGGAAAGGGCCCTTGAGCAGCTCCAGCCCACATTCTACATTGCCCACCACAGTGAGAAGATGCCCTCGTTTAAAATACACTACCTACCAAGATGTTCATGACCTTAAGTGATAAAAGATTTTGTACAATATAATCCCATATTCATAAAACAGGTGTATTAGTTTGCAGTAACAGAGTATCCCAGACTGAGTGGCTAAAACAATAGAAATTTATTGTCTCATAGCTCTGGACGCCGGAAGTCCAAGACCAAGGTGTTAGAAGGGTATGTTCCATCTGAGAACTGATGGAGAGATAGCATCTGTCCCATGCGTCTTCCCTAGCTTTTCATTGTTTCCTGGCAATCTTTGGCATGCCTTGGTTTGTAGAAGCATTGCCATGATCTGTCTTCATTTTCACTTAGCATTCGCCTTGTGTGCATGGCTCTGGCTTCAAATGTTCCCTTTTTATAAGGACACCAGTCTTATTGGATTAGTGCCCAATATAATGACCTCATCTTAACTAATTACATCTACAATGACTCTATTTCCAAATGAGATTCCATTCTGGGGTACTGGGGGTTGGGACTTCAACATATAAATTTTGGAGGGATACAATTTAACTCATTGCAGCAAATGAAAATGGAAAGCTCTATGTATTTGTTTTTGGTTATATGAGTATAGAGAAAGGGGTGCAAAGATATACAGTATACACAAACAGTTAACTTTCACTAGCCAGGTGTGGGATTAGCTGGGGTTAAGGGGTAGTTACTACTTTATTATACACTTAATATTGCATCAACTATTGGAATGAGTGGTATTAATTCTGTAATTAAAATGTAATAAAAATTAAAATTAAAACCTAAAATAAATAATAAAATATATTGCTGGAAAGCATAAAGTTTCTCAAATTATTGCATTTCTCCTCTTTTAATCCATTTCTATACAGCCTTAAAATCATGATTCTCTCTAAGAATACAGGATGGAGCAGACTTACACTGATGAAAATAGAGATGGATAATAACACAACCAACTGATAGAAATGTAGGGACAAAATCTAAATATAACAGATATGAGAATGATAGCTATAATAACAGATGGGTTAAGTGTGACAGTCATTTTCTTGAAGGAAGAGGAGAGAAAAAATTGAAATAAAAGGTATTCACACATGAACACAGGAGTGTGTGATAAAGATTGTTGCATGGAAACAAAGATCTGTTGAAATGTTGGATATGCTGTGATAGAAGATGAAACAGAATGAGAAGTCTGATTTAAAAAAATTAAAAGGCCTGATCATAATGTGCTTTACTTAATGTGAAAAGATAAGTGTGGGAGGCAGAATAATTCTCCCCCTCCAGCCCCTACTTCTCCACCCCCACCCTGCCAAGATATCCACTCTCTGAGCACTCACATCCGTTCTGGATTATCTGGGTGGGCCCAATATAATCTGATCAGTTCTCGAAAGCAGAAACTTTACTAGCCTGAGTTAAAGAGATGAGAGGGAAAGAAATTCCAAGCAAGAGAAGGACTTGACTCACCATTGCTGGCTTTGAAGATGCAGAAAGGAAGCCAAGGACTGAGGCTTGTGGGTGGCCTCTAGAAGCCTAAGACACCCTCATCTGACAGCCCACAAAGAAAAATGGATTCCACTCTTATAACTCCCATTGTTCCAGTAACTCAAATGAGCAGCAAACGGATCTTCCGCCAAAGTCTCCAGAAAAGAAACACAGCAGCTCTGTCAACACTGTGATTTTAGCCTGGTGAGACCTATATTAGAGGTCTGATCTACAGAAATAGAACACAAGCTTGAGTTCTTTGAGGACAATTTATGGTAATTTGTTATGGCAGCAACAGCAAACCACTATAATAGGAATTGTAGGATCTATGCATATAAAGATGTAAATGATGGCTGAGTGCCCCCTCTGTTCAAAGTGCTGTGCTGTGTACGTTATATGCCATATCCCATTTAGCCCTCATCTTAGTATCTCCTGTATAAACTTTAAATATCAGTGACTTAAGGTCATGAATACAAAAATATCACATGGCTCTTTGAAATCACAGGATTTTGATCTGACACTGTCAGTGAAGCAATCTCTGAGAAGAACAGTAATATTTTCTATTAGTGGGGATGGATTATCCGGTCTGATGCCCATCTCTGCTCAGTGGCCAAGGGCTGCTCTCAAGGAGTAACTGCTTGAAGTCAGTGGTGTTATCAGAGAATAAGGAAGTTATACAGTCCTCATCAAGATGGAATCTGCCTCCTGAAAAACTAACTGGCAGACTCTGAGGTTAACCAAAACAGGAAAAAAGCAAATTTTAAGGCCAGCATGAGATAACCCAGGTCAAATGGCTTCCCATAATCTTCCCAGAGACTCCTTCTGAATTCATATAGCATTTTTGCTCTAGCTCTCATGGCCTTACTGCTTGGTGTTTGTTTATAATTGCTTAGGCACATGCCTAATCTCTGAGTGTGGTTACTATCTACTGCACAAAACCATGTGCCAGACACTTAGCTAAATGCTTTACCCACATTATCTCATTTAATCTCCATGAACACCTATGTGATAGCTACTATAATTATTCACAATTTTGTATACAAAGAGGCTGAAGTCACATAGATCTCACAACTTATTCATGGCCTCACAATAAGTGGCAGAACCAGAATTCAAGACCTGCTGTCTGTCTTGCCAGTATGAACTCTGAACTTACAATAAAGCTCTTCAAGGATGAAATGGAGACTTCTCTGTTTGTTCCCTGGTTTATTCATTGCATCCCCGGGCATAGCAAAGACTCAACAAATCTTTGCAGAGTGAAAAAAAAAAAAAAAAGAACAAGAGTGGAAAATTTTCAGAAAGAAAAGTTTAACTAATGAAGGACACCACTTTCTAAAAATCTGGCTCACAGTCTCTCCCAAATACTAATTAGAAATAATTAGAGGTAAATATATGCCCATACTTGATACACTGTTTTCCTGGCAATTGCATTTATGTATTTATATTAGCATGTTCTAATTTTTATTTTTTACTAACAATGCACTGAACCAAAGGAAAATGGGGGACCATAATATGAAGTATTATAACAGTAAAATGTCAAGGAGAAAATGCGTGTCCCTCAGTGCCTGCTGGCCAATCTCCTCTTATCACCCGGAAGCTCTAGCTGCAAAGCCCAGCCACCACTGCATCCTGATCACAGGAAGACCAGATTGCATGGCCTCCATGGCTGTGGCTGTGAGCACCAGGGTTGAGCACATCCTGAAAAGGTAGGTGCTTTCACTGCAGGTAAATTCATCATTAAATCCACAAGATATTTAACTGCTCAGGTTCAACATTCTCAATTTTCTGCTAGATTATAAATTCCATGAAAGTAGGAACGATGCCAATTTGGTTCATGGGTCCATCCTCAGTGCTTGTCTCATGAATGAACCCATGAATGAGTGAATATCTCTACACCAGTGTCCAGTGGATTAATTAGCAATCAAGCAAACCAGTGATGACATATGTAGATTTACAGTTTGGTTCTAACAATGGAACATATGATTTCTCTACAATGTTACTGTACCAGTTTTGACTAAAAGATGAAGAAAACCCAAGTAATAGTGTTAAAAATCAGGAAATTTATTATCTGATCTCACAAGGGGTTGGGAGGCAGAGTGGCTATGGGGCTGGATATGTTGGCGCTTCAGTGACATCTTCAAGGTATGAGCTTCTTCCTGTTTGTCCACTCTGCTATCTTCAACATGCTTTCTGGTCCTCTGGCTGGCCCCTCTCAAACTGCAGGATAGATTCAGAAGATCCAGCATTGCCTCTTTAGCCAAACACAACTGAACTTTGTCCTATATCGATTTTATTTATTTTTTGTGGGGTTTTTCTGTGTGTGTTTTTCCCTTTTTCTTTTTTTTTAATTTATTTTTATTGTTGGAAGTATTACAAATGTCCCCTTTTTATTCCCATTGACCCCCTCCTCCTCACTCCTGTCCCTCCCCAGACCTTCGCTGCACTATATCTATTTAAAAATCCAAAAAATCTTTCTCCCAAGCTCCTTCAACAGAAGTATCCTCTTTGGCCAGAATTTCTATTACATCACATGTCTCCTTCCTAAACTAACCACTGGCAAGGTGGATGGACTTAACATGAGAAGATTAAATTTATCAAGAGTCACTCCCTGGGTATTAGAAATGGCTTAACCTCTCCTCGTGGCCGTGGTCATCACACTGTTGAACCAGATTAACTTACTTTGGCAAGGAAGAAATAAACGAAATGGCTGTTGAATAAATGGCATAAAGAGTTCCAGATTGCCCCAGCTGGTTTGGCTCAGTGGACAGAGCATCCACCTGCAGACTGAAGGGTTCCAGGTTTGATTCTGGTCAAGAGCACATGCCCGGGTTGTGGGCTCAATCCCAAGTATGGGCATGCAGGAGGCAGCCAATTAATGATTCACTCTCATCATTGATGTTTCTATCTCTCTCTCCCTCTCCTTTCCTCTCTTAAATCAATATATATATATACACACACTAGAGGCCTGGTGCACAAAACTTTGTGCACTCAGGGGGGTCCCTCAGCCCTGCCTATGCCCTCTTGCAGTGTGGAACCCCTTGGAGGATGTCCACCTGCTGGCTTAGGCCCACTCCCTGGGAGATTGGGCCCAAGCTGGCAGTCAGACATCCCTCTGGCAGCCCAGCAGCCCTCAGAGGATTTCCACTTACCAGCAGGGAGCAGACCTAAGCTGCAGTCAGACATCCTTAGTGCTGCTGAGGAGGAGGGAGAGGCTCCCACCACTACTGCTGTGCTGGCAGCCATCAGCCTGGCTTGTGGCTGAGCAGAGCTCCCCCTGTGGGAGCTCACTGACCACCAGGAGACAGCTCCTGCATTGAGCATCTGCCCTCTAGTGGTCAGTGTGTGTCATAGTGACCAGTCATTTCCCGTCGTTCTGCTGGTAGGGTCAATTTGCATATTACCCTTTTATTATATAGGATAGAGGCCTGGTGCACGGGTGGGGGCTGGCTGGTTTGCCCTGAAGGTTGTCCGGATCAGGGTGGGGGTCCGGCTTGGGTGCCTGGCCAGCCTGGGTGAGGGGATGATGGCTGTTTTCAGGCTGGTCAAGCCCCCTCCAGTGGGGACCCGCACCCCATGGAGATTTGGCCAGCCTGAGTGAGAGGCTGAGGGCTGTTTTCAAGTTGGCCACACTCATTTAGGGTGGGGGGTCCCCACTGGGGTGCCTGGCCAGTTTGGGTGAGGGGCTGAGGGCCATTTTCAGGCTGGCCAAGCCCCCCGGCAACATAAGCTCCCTGACTCTCCTTTTTTTCTTTCTTTTTTTTTTTTTAATTCTGGGATTTATTTACCTTCTATAATTGAAACTTTGTAGCCTTGAGTGGAGCTCAGAGCTGGCCAGGGCAGGCGGAAAGCTTGGTTTCCTCCATTACCAGGGGCAACCCAAGCCTCCTGTTCGCTCCAGCTCCGTGTCCACGGCCAGCTGAAAGCAGGTATCTGGGGTTTATTTATCTTCTATAATTGAAATTT